TTTCTGTTCATTTCATTGCCCCATTTTTGGATGGGGTTGGATGTTTTCTTCTTGTGGAGTTTAACCAGTATTTTGTATATCCTGGATATCAACCCCTTGTCAGATGTGTATTCGGTGAATATCCTTTCCCATTCTGTAGACTGTCTTTGTATTTTGGTCACTGTTAGAAACCTTTTTTTTAAAATTCAGTTGGTTCTTCTCAAATATATTGTATTAGGTAAAACTTTAAATAAATTTATGTGTACTAATATATATGTATATACAAAATGAAAATAACAGTGTGTATATAACTTATACTTTTAAATATGTTATACATTTTAAGAGCATTTTTAAAACTGTGGTACATATTATACTGAACATTGATTTTCTGATGGCAATGTGTCATTTTAAATTGCATATTGCAATTTAAATCTACCATTTAAATTGACCACCTCTCAATATGACCATTGTTATATTGCATTTAAATCTACCTCATAAGGGACCACCAAGTAAATGATGACTGGAGGGCTCACTCGGGATAAGAGATGTGTGCTGAAAATAAATTATAGACCGAACATGATGGCCACTTAATACCTGTACTGCAAACCACAACACCCAAAAGGAGAGAGTAAAAGGGAATGTACCTGCCACCGAGGCAGGAGTAGGGTGGGTGGGATGGAGTGGGGGGGGAGAGACACTGGGAATATTGGTGGTGGGGAATGGGCACAGGTGGCAGGATGGGTGCTCCATCATTGTATGACTGAAACTTAAGTACGAAAGTTTATAAGTCTGTAACTGTGATTCATTTATATAAATATCATGGTGATTCATTTATATAAATAAATAAATAAATAAATAAGTCTACCTCATTTAAGATCAGAGATTGTACTCCTAAACCATAAACTATCGGGGCTGGAGCGATAGCACAGCAAGTAGGGCATTTGCCTTGCACGCAGCCAACATGGCAGACCCAGGTTCGATTCCCAGCATCCCATATGGTCCCCCGAGCACCGCCAGGAGTAATTCCTGAGTGCATGAGCCAGGAGTAACCACTGAGCATCGCCTGGTGTAACCCAAAAAGCAAAAAAAAAACCTATAAACTACCTTTTAAATTAATTCTATCTCAATTAAAAATAAATAATGACTGAGACGCATGAAAATGTTATCAAGTCAAAATACATATGCACAAATCACAACCAAAGAAACCATACCTTCATCACTACTTGCTCAATAGGTTTACTATTGCTATGCATTCTAATTGTTTCCAAGTTATTGCTGTTATGTACTGTGCTGCAATAAATGCTTCCTTTATATAGCAATGCATATTTGGATAGATGTTTCTTTTTGATAGATGTATAAAAATAAAATTATGAAGTCAGTTAATATGAGTATCAACAGCTTACACATATTTTGACATTACATCATTCCGTAAAGAAAAATAACCTATTTAACATCTGTAGGGTTTATTATTATAAAGCTTAGATGTTATTTTAAATTATTTGATAAATGATATTTTCTGTTATTTCACAAATATTTTCTTTTGATGTATCACTTTTTAATTTTTTTAGTTTGTGGGCAAGGCCAGTTGTGTCATACCCAGCCATGTTCTAGGCTATTCCTGACTGTGTGCTCAGGGATCATTCCTAGCTATGCTCCAGAGACTATATGCAGTGCCAGGATCAAACCAAGTTTAACCTCTTCAAAGAAAGTGACTTAATTAGAGAACTATCTCTCCAGCCCCCTAGATTATTAAAAACTTTTAAAAACTTATTTATGATTATTTCATCCTACTGAATTTTCATATATGCACGAGAGTTTTCTAGACTAGTAAATTTATTACATTAGTATTACTGGGCCCGCTTGAGTATTTGTCAATGAGGTGAAAAATATTTCTGTAACTTTGCACATTAAAAGATTAAAAGCTAAACATTAACTGTTGAATATTTACCCTAAATTATGCACACTGACCTCTTAAAATGTAATATTATAATTATAAAATAGACAAAAGTAGAATTTTTGTTTTGGAGGCCACACCTGCTGGTGCTCCAGGCATACTCCTGGCTTTGTGCTCAGGGATATCTCCTGGTGGTGCTCAGGGGACCATATGGAGTGTTGAGGATCTAACCGAGGTTAGCCAATTGTAAGGCAAATACTATAATTGATGTACTATCTCCTGGTCCCTTATAAATAGGCTTTTTAAAAGGCAAAGTTAAAAAACAGTTTCTAATTTTTTTTAAATTTTATTTTATTAGTGAAACACCATGAGGTACAGTTGTAGATTTACAATTTTTGTGCTTGGGTTTGATTATACAATGATCAGATACCCATCCCTCCACCAGTGCCCATTTTCCACCACCATGGATAATATCCCCCCACCCCCATCCCCCCATCCCCCCCTGCCTCTGTGGCAGGGCAATCCCCTGTGTTCTCTCTCTCCTTTTGGGTGTTGTGGTCTGTAAAAGAGGCATTGAGTGGCAAACATGTTCAGTCCATAGTCCACTTTCGACATGCATCTCCCCTCCTGGGAGGATCCTCCAAACACCCTTTATTTGGTGTTCCCTTCTCTATCTGAGCTGCCCTTTCCTCTAGAATGCCCGACTGGCCACTAAGCTATGGAGTAATCCTCCTGGTGCTGATCTCAGCTATTCTTGGGTATTAATCTCATATTTTGTTACTTTATATCCCCCAGATGAATGCAATCTTTCTATGTCTATCCCTCTCTTTCTGACTCATTTCGCTTAGCATGATACTTTCCATATTGTACCACTTGTATGTAAATTCATGACTTCATCTTTTGTAAGAGCTACATAGTACTCCATTGTGTAGATGTACCAAAGTTTCTTTAACCAGTCATCTGTTCTTGGGCATTCAGGTTTCTTCCAGTTTCTGGCTATTGTAAAGAGTGCTGCAATGAACAAACAAGTGCAGATGTCTCTTCGACTATACATTTTTGCCTCTCTGGGATATATTCCCAGGAGTGGTATTGCTGGGTCAAGTGGGAGCTCAATTTCTAATTTTTTGAGAATCGTCCATACTGTTTTCCAGAAGGGCTGAACCAGTGGACATTCCCACCAACAGTGAAGGAGTGTCCCTTTCTCGCCACATTCACGCCAGCATCGGTTGCTTTTGTTCTTTTGAATGTGGGCCAGTCTCTGAGGTGTGAGATGGTATCTCATTGTGGTTTTGATCTGCATCTCCCTGATGATTAATGATGTAGAGAATTTTCTCATGTCCTTTTTTGCCATTCAGATTTCTTCTTTGAGAAAGTTTCTGTTCATTTCATTGCCCCATTTTTGGATGGGGTTGGATGTTTTCTTCTTGTGGAGTTTAACCAGTATTTTGTATATCCTGGATATCAACCCCTTGTCAGATGTGTATTCGGCGAATATCCTTTCCCATTCTGTAGACTGTCTTTGTATTTTGGTCACTGTTTCTTTGGAGGTGCAGAAGCTTCTTAGTTTAAGATCGTCCCATTTATCTATCTCTGTTTTCACTTGCTCAGACAGTGGCGTGGCATCTTTGAAGATACCATTAGCTTCAATGTCATGGAGGGTTTTGCCAACTTTGTCTTCAATGTACCTTATGGTTTCTGGTCTGATGTTTCTGATTTTTTTCATTTGTTATTTAACTGTGCAATCTAGGTGTGCAGAGGCTACTTCGAAGAGCAATAATGAATTAGTATCTCCTCTACACATCTTTAGTTTTATATGGATTTTTATTAATAAGGAGATATATGGGACACAAATATTAATGGCAAGGAAAATAAGGTTACATTAAAAGGGGGTCTGACCAGCACTGATCCTACCCAGGTAGAAATAGGTTTCGTGCCTTGGCCTGTTCCCCCTGGCGGCCCAGTGGCCGCCATCCTCCAGAGGCCATTGGACAGTCTGGGCCCATAGGGATGAGACACGTGGGGCCTCACAGGACGGGGGTGGAGCCGGCCCTTTCCTCCCCACCCCAACGAGACCCCGAGTCGCTGCCCACGAACAGCCTCTCTGGCTCGTGATCAAGCTGCTTAATGGCCATGATCCTAGAGACTCAGAAACAAATCTCGGAGTCCAGTGACTTTTGGTAGAAATGCGTGCAGACCCGCAGTAGGTTACTGTCACCAGGCCACCCCGGGGGGAAAGGGTGCTGTCCCTCCATCTGCTCCTCCTAGGCAGCTCGGTGGCTATCATCCTCCAGAGGCCATTGAACAGTCAGGTTTGGGAACTCAGTGACGAAACACGTTGGGCCTCACGGGATGGGGGTGGAGCCGGCCCTTTTCTTCCCACCCCAATGAGACCCCAAGTTGTCGCCCACAAACAGCCTCTTTGGCTCCTGATCAAGCTGCTTAATGGCCATGATCCCGGAGATTCAGGAACAAATCTCAGAACCCAGCATATTTGGGCAGAAATCCCTCCAGATTTAAGTGTTAAAATTTCACAATTTCAAAATTGTGCGGCCACTACAGCAGCCACGCAACATCATAAGTTATTCTTAACCAGCAATAGAAAACAAATTGTCTCCTGTTACCTTTTCAGCAGATCTGAGTGTTGGGGTAAAATCCCAAATAATAATGGTGGGCCTGGTGTCAAAATATTGAATGTGATCAAAGTAGAGAGAGAGTAATGTGGAAATCATCTGCTCCACAGTAGGGGGAGGGTGTGGGATGGGGGTGTCCTGGGGTTTTGGTGGTGGAGAATGGGCACTGGTGAAGGTACGGGTATTTCATGGTATGACCGAGACTTAGACCCAAAAGCTTTGTAACTACTTTCACAGTGATTTAATAAATAAAATTATAAAAAATGAAAAAAATAAAAGGGGGTCTGGATTCATTCATATCATACTGCTTTTTACTTTGTAGAGAAGGACTTGCTATTAGAATTTCTTTTGCAGAAAGGACTTGCTATTTTCATTTAATTTAAATGATACAATATTTGGATTTCTGTCTTCTCTAGTAAAAAAAGTAAATTCTTCTTGTAACCTCTATGGGTAAATTGCTAGGGTAATAACCATCTTGTATCTTGCTCTCCCCCAAGATTTCTGTGGAACCATGATTGTTGAAGACGAGGATGCTCCAATTCCTTACACTTTGGATGATACCAAACCTGATGGTACCTATCCTGCCATAATGGGGTAAGGCACAGTTATAGTTGTCAGGATTGATAGGATATTTCCATATTATGAATCAATGTGCCCTAAACTTTGTTAAATAATTTATTACACAATGGCTATATTCTTCAAATATAACAGTGGACAAATTCTTACTGATTTTATAAAAAGATCTTCCAATGAGTGTTTAGAAAGGAAAAGTAATACCAGTAAAAGCTTTCTTTTATTATATTAATTTTCTGCTTCATATATATAGTGCTAGAGTAGATATAGTTTAGTAATCATCTCTTATGAAAGCATGATATAAAGGTCTAACTTTGGGTTTTTTATTGAGACCTACCTGTGGACACCAATAATACTTTTGTGGAACACTAAGGTTTTTCAAGCTCCTCTACAGAAAACTTGGTCCCAGGCTCATTGGGGAATGCTAGCACAGTTGGGAGATATCAGACAGCAATGGTTACTTGGGATAGCCAACCTAGTTATGGACCCTAGAATATGAATCTCTCATATCCTAGCGACACACAAACTATAACAAGGAGCTCAAAGCTAGTTGTTAGTTAAAAGAAAACAGGATTATAACTTAAGGTGGGTACTGGAAAACCAGACACTGGGGAGATATCATAGTAGAGATAGAAGCAAAGAGCAAGGACTGGATGCTAATGGAAGGCTTAGACCTTAAGTGAACATGGGAAACAAAGGGCTTAAACCTATTGAATCAGTCATCTGGGATTTTTGTCCCTTAGTTCCTTGAAGCTTGTCTTTCAGTGTCATTCATGTTTCCTATAAATAGTAAACATTGAACATGCAATGTGCTGGTGTATACTTTGTTTCTTCTGCTTTAATTTTAAGTTGTTCATTGAACAAAGTTGTAGTTAAAGAGACAAAGCTAGAATAAAAGCAGCCATTGATATTCTCCCCTTCTCTTATTTGTATGTTTCAGATTTATTCTTGTCAACAAAGCCAGAAAACTGGCACGTCTTACAAAAGAAGAAAGGTAAAGGAAAAATGTCTTTTTTTCCTTCCACTCTTCTGTTCTGTTGCTTCCCTCAAAGTTCCCCGCCCTTTCCAGTGCAGCTTTCATTTTCTTCCGTCCTCCTTTCATTCTGCAAACTTCCCTGCCTATTCAATTTTGCATATTTTACCTTAACACTATGTGTATTCTAAATATTATAAGATTGTCACATTAATTATAGGGATCTTGTATGAAGACCCAGTGCTGATAATGTAAGAAGAAAGAATTCAAATTAATACCCATTGATTCTGTGAGCATAAAATACCATTCTTGTTATTATGTTAAATGTACAAATAGAAAACAACCCAGGTGATAAAAACTGACAGGGTGGAGATACCAGATAGACAAATGACTATATGGTAGGAGCGTCTGCAGTATATCCTGCACCTATGAAGTAAAACAATTATAAGATTATAGGTACAGAGGAACTACTAATTTCTGTGAAAGTGTCCATTGGAATTCACCACTGCCAATTCTTTATTCCTATACCACCATCATAACATATTCTAAAATAATAGCACATATCTACTCCTCCATTACTATCCAGCTCTCTGACTATTGTTTTGTCTATATGGCTTACTGCTGGATGTCTTGTGCCTGGAACAAAGCTTACAATAAATATTGCCCAGTTTTTTTTTAAATCATGTTTATAACCTATTTTGGTACTATGACAAAATTTTCACTTTTTACAAAGCAATTTGTCCATTTTAAAAAAGCATGATTTTGAATGGTATACCACACTATGAATAACTTTCCTGTTTCGAGATTATTTTAAATATTTTATATTTCTCATTGCTTTTATTGTTCTAGCTGTTGCATGTAAATCTTTTGGTGGGAGGATACACACTGCTATTTTCAGGGGTTACTACTGGTTCTGTGCTTAGGAATCACTCCTGAAGGTGCTCAGGTAACCATATGGGGTGCTGAGGATTGAACCTAGGTCAGCTGCATGCAAGATAGGTGCCTTACACATAGTATTATCATTATGGCCCAAATTCTTCTTAAATGTTTTGGTTAGAAATACAGCTTTGCTTCTTTCATGACTAGATATTTGCCCCAGTGCCATTTATTTATTGAGTGTCATTTATCTTTTCCTCAGTCTTTTAAAGCTCTCACTTTTTGTAGTCCAAGTTTCCTATGCTTTGGATTCTATTTATGAACTTATTTGCATTTATTTTCTCTGACTCTTCCACTGCTTTGCCAAATGATGTCATTTTTGGAAAACAAAGCAAAATAGAAACAAAATAAGAAAATGTTGAAAAGTGGAGGGAAAATTAAGCATTTTCATATGTCCTTGTTTACAGAAAGTGTTCCTGGAATTAAAATAAATAATGAGGGGCCAGAGAGATCATACAGGGGTTAGGGTGTGCATGAATCCAATCTATTTTCAGTCTCTGATATCGCCTAGTTCTCTTAGAATCACCAGTATGGCTATGGAGATATCTGAGCACAACTGAGGTGGCCCTGGTGGCCCCTGGCACCACAGTGCCTAAGCAGCACCACATCCTTGAACCTAGCTAGCCAGATTGAGTATGGCTAGAAGGAGCCCCCAGGACACCTGAACACTACTTGAGAAACCCTCTCAAAAATATATAACATAATTATATTTTTGAAAAGCATTGACCTACTCTAAGTCATCTTTAAGATCCCCATAGAATTACCATTCTAAGAAAGTCAAATTGAAATTATAATCTCATACTTCAAAACCTGGTTCGTTTTACATTATGAATGGCAGAAATCTTGATACAACTGAAACTTTGAAAACGTTAGTAACCTGTTGAAGACCTCATACTATGTATGAGGCAGAAGCAGATTTCCAAACTTTTCTTATTCCTTCTTGTATTCTGTCTCTAGCTGTGAAGGGGAGTGGAGGAAGCAAGACAAGCAAACAAGGATTATATGCTCATCCTCTTAGAATCTCTAGTGTTTTAGGGACTGACACTTTTGAGATACACACCATATTCTTAAATGAAAGAACAAATTGCCCCCAGTGATTCAGAAAGTGCATCACTTTATTTTTCTTTAATACTACTACTTGCGACATTATAGATTTCAGACTTTTTTGTGCTACACCTGGTGATGCTCAAGAATTACTCCTGACTCTGCACTCCGTAATCACTCCTGTTTGTTCTTAGGGGACCACATTGAATGCCATATTGATTGAACTCAGGTCAGAAGTGTGCAAGGCAAGCACATGACCTGCTGTACTATCTCTGACCCCAAGATTTCAAATGTTTTAAATTGAACAAAATTTCTTGGTTTTTAAAATGTCTTATTTAATTAAAAAAAACTGTAACTTACAAAGCTATTCAGAGTTGAGTTTTAGGCATACAATATTCTAGCACCAATCCTACCAACAGTGTTTTAGAAATTCGAATGGGGACAGAGCAATAACAGAAAAGGCACTGACCTTGCACATGGCTGATTCGTGTTTGATCCCCAGCATCACGTATGGTCCCCGGAGCACATAACCAACCCTGAGCACTGTTTTGTGTGGTCCAAAAATTTCAAAGAAAATTAGAATAAAGCATCAATGGAAGCAATGATTCAGTCTTTTTTAATGAAGTATTAGATACTTCTTTCAGAAACTTATAAAAGTCTGTACTGCTGCTATTGTTGTGGGGACCCCACTGATTATGCTGGGATAGTCAGAGCTACACGCAGAGGTGCTCATGGAGACATACGATGCTGGGATTAAAACCAGAGCCTAACACATCACTTTGAGCCACAACCCCGACCCTCAGAAACCTCAACCGTCATATTCTTCATTTTCACTTTTGCCTTCTCCCTCCCCATAGACTGAAGAAACTTTGTGAGCAATATGCAAAAGTTCTGCGATCCCCAGAAGCCTTGCAGGTAAGGCTACTTCCACACCCTGTCATAAACTACAGTGATCACGCTTTGTCCTCAGAGGGGTTAGCAGGAATCATTTCATGCAACTAAAACCCTAGAGCTCTTATTTTCCTGATATATTCTCAAAGAGGTCTGCGCAGGATTGTCATCCACTTATAAACTGTCCCAGAAAATATGGATTCTGAACATGCTGGTGGCAGTTTAGGAACCCTGCAACACCAGAGGTGTTGCAATATTTGTCCCTGAGCTCCAGGACTTTTCTGGAGCAGGACATGGTAACATTATGCTTGCAGCTTTGCCACAAGATAAAAGAAGGAAAATTCTGCAACCCATTCCAATAGCAGCCTAGGATGGGGATTTTTAAAAGTACTTTGCCTTTCATTGTTTACATAAACTAAAATATAAGAATTCCCTAACACCCAACCTAGTCCAGATTGTCTCAAGGGTAAAATTATGGTGGGCTGCGCTGGGACCATAACAGAGCATGTAGGGAATTTGCTTTGCATGTGCTGACCTGTGTTTGATCCCCAGCATCCCATATGGTACTCTAAGCAACATTCGGATTGATCCCTGAATATAGAGCCAAGAATAAGCCCTAAGCATCACCTGGTGTGCCCCTATCCCCCAGAAAACACAACACTCCCCAAATGATGGTCTGTCCACCTCCTCAATATCCTTTTTTGCCTTACTTTACTCTGGACCATTTGTGAGAGGAAGGGGTTCAAGGAAGACTCACTCAGAGAATGTCTGTCACTTAGCCTTGTCAGCTGACTGAAACACCTTTGAATATAGCCTGAGGAAATGGTGATCTTCAAGTTAAACAAGTGTCAGTCCATGGGCACCCCGCCCCTTCTGCCCAGTTGACTAAAGGTAGAATTGTGGTGGGGTCCAGAAGCAGTGAGATAAAGGGAGCTGGCAAAGGTCAGAGGGTTCAAGGTGCTCAGAGCTTGAAGTCACAACCACCGACACTAGCAATATTTCAGTGATATCTTCATACATTACAAGCCTGCCTGAGTTTTTGATGCTTTGACAAGGATTAAACTGCATTTTGAAAGCAGTTATTAAGTCTAGGGATCCATGAAGCATTTGAAGACAAGGAAGTCACTAATAATAGTTTTGTAAAACACACAATCTCAATCAATAGTTTCTTGTTTAATTGAAGACAATGGAGACCTTACAAATAAATGAGCAGTTAAAACTTGAGAGAAAAAACTGAGGGGTAAAACTGATTAATCTTCTTAAAATCCAAATACAAAAAAAAAATAATAAAAGTCAAATATCTTCAGTGCAAACTCCTACCTACTAACCCTAGTTGAATAGCTACATAGTTTAATCTTACTACTCTAAAACTTATATTGTTCACTGTGTATTGTCTTGCTTCTTCCTAGTCAATTAATTTATTGTAGCTTTTTGAAATTTTTTTCTTAATTCCTTTAAAGCCAGATTTCTACCCAAACCACATACGGTAGAAAAATTTTGGAGCTCTTTTTCCACAAATGAAAAATAATTATACATTGACTGTTCTGGAGAGAAACATAATAATGGTAAATTTGGTTTTAGTTTTGGCATTTGAATGCATTTTACAAAGTTAAACATAAGCATAGCTTTTACACACACACACACACACACACACACACACACACACACGCATGCATGCACACAAAAACCACAAACACAAAGAGTCATTTCACATCTGTTAAAAATTACTGGAATTTTTTGTCTGCTTTAAAATGCTGCTCAGCAACAAAACTAACTCCTAGGCTCAGTAAAAACTATGGTAGTTACCAGAAAGAAAAAGAGAACAGTAGGAAACATTAGAAAAGTGTTTGGTGGTAAGATGGCCCTGGAATTGGTGGGGGTGGGGAGGAAGTGTGGTAAATTCTAAACACATATAAAGATACTGGGAAGTTGTACCTTGAAATTCTATAGTATTCTCAGCCAATGATAAATCAATAGAAGTGAGGATAGTTTATCCTGGTAGACACTCTATATCAAAAAGGTTTGTTAATTTTCTTCTCTTCATTTGCTTTGTTCCTCTTTATTTCACATAAAAGTGAAATTGTACAGTGTTTGTTTATTCTTGTTTTGGTGTTGACTGTGCAGAAGGAAACAATTCCTGGGAGCAATAAAAGATGAAAGATTAATTCAAATATTTCTTTTAACTGGAAATATCCAGCTGAAGTTGAATGCCACTTTTATTTTCTATTTTTTTGTTGGTTTCTGAGCCACACCCAGCTGTGCTCAAATATTAAAACCTGGTCCTGCACTCAGAGATTACTCCTGAAAGGTTTGGGAAACCATAGGGAGTGCCAGGGATTTATCCAAGGTCAGCCATGTACAAGGCAAATACCGTACCCACTGTAACTATCTCATCTGTCACTTCTAAATGCCTAGGAGAGAGGCTGTATGTTAGGCATCAGGAGCCATTTCCCACCTTAAGCATGACCTTGGGCTTTAAACAAGATACAGAACAAATGACTATCCACTGTGAAATATATGGCTGCAATGTTTCAAAATTACTTTTTTGGAAATTTAAAACTTTGTTTATACACTCTTTATTTCATTCAGTAAACAAATCATCTAAATATTAAATAAACTTTATCACATAGCTATATTATGACTACAGTTTTTAAACACCTTTTCTAAATGTATTTTTAAACTAACCATTTTTCTCATTAAACTTACCATGTTGAGTTCATTTTTTCAAAACCTTTGTTTTTAATACAAAATTAACCAAATATTGTTTTTTATTTTTATTAGTGAAACACCATAAAGTACAGTTGTAGACTTACAAATTTTTGTGCTTGAGTTTCAATTATACAATGATCAAATACCCATCCCTCCACCAGTGCCCATTTCCCACCACCATGGATCCTAGTATCCCTCCCACCCCCCATCTACCCCGTCCCACCCTGCCTCTGTGGCAGGGCATTCCCCTTTGTTTTCTCTCTCCTTTTGAGTGCTGTGGTTTTCAGGAGAGGCATTGAGTGGCAATCATGTTTGGTCTATAGTCTACTTTCAGCATGATTCTCCCATCCTGGGAGGATCCTCCCATCACCCTTTATTTGGTGCTCCCTTCTCTATCTGAGCTGCCTTTTCCCCTAGCATGTGTGGCTGGCCTCCAAGCCATAAACCTCCTGGTATTTATCTCGGCTATTCTTCGGTGTTAGTCTCCTATTTTGTTACTTTATGTTCCCCAGATGAATGCAATCTTTAAATAAATATTTTTAAACACTTTACAAATGTATACTAAAATATTTTCAGGGAAATGGAATAATGTCTTGTATCTTTTTTTGCAATATTTTTAAGCACCATGATTTACAATACTCTAATAGTTGATTTCAGGTATACAATCTTCTGAGTCCACACCCATCACCACTGTTAGTGTCCCTCCACCATTGTATCAAGATTCCCTGCTAACTACCCCCATCCCTTGGAAAACTCACATACCTGTGGTATATAGAGAAATAAGACAAGAGAATGGAATGTATCCAATGATGACAAACCCTTGGTCCTGGATTACAGAACTGAGGATATCAAGTCAAGGGGGCAGTAGGTGCAGGGGCAAAAGATGAGATGGACTGAATATAACATGAGGACATTTGTGGAGGGTCTTGGGCACTTTGATGATGGTTAGGTAACTGTACCTAAAAATTGTAGGGTTAACATTATTGTAATCTCATGAAACACTATTGTAATCTCATAACCCAAACTGTAATAATTAAACACAAATAATTATTGTTAATTCTTAAGCTTAGTTATTTTAGGAGACCATGTAGATAGATCATTTGGTAGAAAGCCTTCCTAACAAACATGACCCCATGAATTTGACCCATAGTACTACTCCAAAATGCCAAGTGAAATCCTGACAGCATTGCCATTTGGAGTTTCTGACAGCACAATGAAATATGTGATCCTCAGGGATCAGTATTACCAAATATTCATTCAAGTGCCGAAACGAAGTATATGCAATATCCTTGTTATTGCAACAATGACCAAAAGAGGGATTTTTTTTTTTGGTTTTTGTATTGTATTTATGTTTAGCTTTTAAATTTATTTATTATTGAATCACTGTGAATTACAAGCTTACAAAGACATTTGTGGTTGAGCTTTAGGAATACAATGTTCCAACATTAATCCCTTCATCATTGTCCTTTCCAAGTAACTTTTCTCCCATTTCTTTTTTTTTCTTTTTTCTTTTTTCTTTTTTTTAACACCCAGCTATGCACAGAGGTTACTCTTGGCTTTGCACTCAGGAATTACTCCTGACGGTGCTCAGGGGACCATACAGGTTGCTGGGAATCAAACCCGGGTCAGCCACATGCAAGACAATCGCCCTACCTGCTGTGTTATCGCTCCAGCCCCCTCCCATTTCTTATATATACTAAAAAGCAAAAAAAGAAAGGAAGAAAGAAAAACAATTTTTGTATAGGGCTGGAACAATAGCACAGTGGTAGGGCGTTTGCCTTGCGTGCAGCCAGTCCTGCCGAGCTGGGTTCGATTCCTCCACCCCTCTCGGAGAGCCCAGCAAGCTACCGAGAGTATCTCGCCCGCGCTGCAAAGCCTGGCAAGCTACTCGTGACGTATTCAATATGTCAAACACAGTAACAACAAGTCTCACAATGGAGATGTTACTGGGCCCACTCGAGCAAATTGATGAACAATGGCAGGACTGTGTTTGTGTTTGTGTTTGAATCTTATGAAGACACAATTCAACAACATACTTTTCACTTTTACGAATTCCTCTGAAGCAGCAGTCTTAATAAAATACTATAACGTGTATTTTTTATTACTTTCTTTCCTGCTCCAATTGCTACAGTAAGCATACATTCTTCAAAAAATGTTTTGAAATCATTAAGCATGTCTTAATAGATAAGACAAATTTTGAAATAGGATTTATATCATGTAGTTTATGAACAATTCCTGAGACTTGAACGAACAAAATGAAAAAACAATTCTGAGTCAGAATTTCTTAGTTTATTATTGTGGTCACTTATCTGCCTAAAGACATATCGCTGTCATTGGGGATAATATGGTTGTGTGTCAGAACAGATTGATTCTCTGATACGATTTCCATTAGACTGTGCTTGATATATTATAGACTACATGACATATTTTGTGTGTCCTCTGAGCTTTTTTTCACCCTGACTTGCAGCCAGTGCACTACGAAGAGAAGAACTGGTGTGAAGAGCAGTACTCAGGAGGCTGCTACACAACCTACTTCCCACCAGGAATCATGACTCAGTATGGAAGGTAGAGTAAAAGTGTACTAAGTTCTATCTGAAATTCTTTGAGCCTGAATTCACACTCTAAGTTCAAGTAATTTTTCTCCATTTCTTATAAATACTAAAAATCAAAAAAAGAAAGGAAGAAAAAAAGAAAAACAATTTGTGTATCCATGAATTCTATGAATGAAGACACAATTCAATGCCATGATAGCTTTCACTTTTATGAATTCATCTGAAGCAGCAGCCCCAATCAGTATAAACAGAGGCTGGTGGCGCAAGTATAGGATTTTGGACAAAGAATTCATTTATGTTGTCAAAAGAGTGTCTTTATCCTGAATTTAATGTTCAGTAAAGTTTTTATCAATAAAACTGTATAAATTCCAACATAGGTACAGCACAACAAAATAAAATAAACTAGGATTGAAGGGACTAGGGTTCTACTCCTAATTCTACCAACAGCCAACTTTCTTATCCTAGACATGTCACTTCTCTTTTCTGAAGTTTCTTTAGCAACCACATAAGAAAGTACAAAGGTGGAAAATAACCAGTATTTCATTATAGCATGAATTATTTTCTTACAACTTTATTGAGATGTTATTCATATATTGCACAGTTCACCAATTCAATGTGAACAATTGAATAACTTTTACCGTTTACAGAATTGGATGTGCAAGTATGTAAAAATATAAGCATGTACTCTCTGGATTTCAATTATATTTGAATACCAATAGCAATGATAGAGCAGTTATGATCATGACCATTATAGTAATATTAAGCTTATCAGCTATATCAAATATATTAATATATTAAATTCAACCTAAGAACTCAAAAACTCAACCTAAACAAAATAGGAACCATAAAGTGAGTATAAGACTGTTGATAGTATGCATTTAAAAAAAAAACTTTAAGAGGGATCAGAATGAAACTACAGCAGGTATGATGCTTGCTTTGCACGCGATGGACCCAGGTTAGATTTCCAGCACCCCTTATTGTTCCCTGAACATGCCAGGAGTGATTCCTGAATACAGAGACAGGAGTAACCTTTGATAACACAAGGTGTGGCCCCAAAACCAAAAAAAAAGGTGAGAGAGAGAGGGACAAGAGATACCACAATGGGCAGGGTGCTTGCTTTGAACACGGACAGCTACCTTGCTCCCTACCCATCTACCACCAGGAGTAATTCCTGAGTGCAGAATCAGGAGTAACTCCTGAGCATCACTAGGTGTGGCCCAAAAACAAACAAAAATAAAATGTCAATGGTAATTATTTTGTTCCATTTTTATTGGTTAAGTATCAACTAAGCATTTACCAAGCATTGTGCTGAAATCTTTGGTATCAGAAAATCCCTCTCTGATAGAAAGGAATCGATGATGTTGGAGGGTGGGAATGGATGGGGAAAGAAAAGAGCATCAAACACAGACTCTAATGTACTGTGTAAGTACTCTAATAGAGGGTATTTAAATGCCATAGGGACACAGGGAGGAAAGATTAGATTTTCCTAGGGAAATATGAGAAGGTTTGATAGTAAATATACCACCTGAAGACTATTGAAGGCAAAAGAGAAAAGATTATAGGCAGATTGAACAATATGAGCAAATGCTTAGAATTCTACAATTGTATGAAGCATCTGGGGAAAATATCTGTATAACTGGACTCTGGGTTATTTGGAGGAAGAAAAGGAAAATCAGTCAGGTAAGCAGGATCATTTATTTCATTCAGGAATTTATTGTTTCATTTATGTCTTCAACAGAGAAGACTCTATTAGAGCATTTGTTTTTGGTTTTGTTGTGTGATTAGATTTCTGAACCTGGAGCATCAAGTTTCATGGTAAATCTCACAAAGAGTATCAGAAAAATACATCACCAAAAATACTTTTGGATGATGGTTGTATAAGACAGTAGCGAAAAAGACACTCACTTACTGGCCTGACCTTGAGCACATGAGATAATCAAGAAAAACCCCATTGGGCCAGGCATTGGTGGTGACATGATAATGGTTCTTTTCATCTTTATTCCTTCCCAGATAATGTGTCAAATTAATGATAGAGATATATTTCAGAAACTTCCATCTATAGAGAGGAAATGAAAGCGCAGAATATCTTAGTGGGATAACTTTTAGTCTGAGCAATAAATTTTCCTTGACCCTTCAGGTCCATAACATTTGAGATATTCAAGGAATTTTAGCCTCATTGGAAGTATAAGTATTTAGTAAGGAAGTATTTTGTAAAGTATTTATCACACAGTTCATAGGAACTTTTAGTTCTAGGGAGAGTTAAAAACATACTGTGTCAATTAAACAGTAGAACACTTAAGGAAATATTTAATTCCATCAGGCCATGAGAAATATACATGGAACTGTCCTTTTTGTGTATGTCTTCTCAGTTGTCTGTAAAAGAAGGAACAGGGATAATTTTTCTTTCCACCTGTTCAATGGTTTTCCCTGAAAGAAAATTTATGCTTACAAATAGTGTAGAAATTATCTACATATTTAAAATTAAGTCTTGGCTTTGCATTTTTAAACTTCTATTGCTAACATGATTAGTTATTTACTCTCTTGTAACATTTGATTCTAGTGTTTTAGTCAAACCTCCCAGAGGTTTCCAATTTGAAAGTGGTTCCCTGTGTTTAAAAAAAAGTGAACATGTGATGAAAAGCAGTATTGTCTAATGAAAATGGAGAGAACAAATCTAACTTCTCTTGCAAATTTATTTTCCCTTAGGCTTTTCAGCTCATGCTGGCTATGGGCAATCATACATTATCCCATATATTATTATTGCTATTATAATATTCCAGAGTACCTTGTTTTCTGTTTTCTCCCAATTTTCTTTGTTATGGGAGCATTCCAAGCAGTGCTCAGAATGCTCAGGAGTGACTCCTGTAATACTTAGTCAACAGGTCTGGGTTTAGTGCTGGGAGGCCCAAGGATGTAAAGCTGTTTGGGAGCCCAGCTGTTGCCAGGAATTACGAAGGCCATTTCACTTGTGTCCAGAAGACTTGAAAGCTACACCTAGTGTTGAGCTAACTCCCTGGTCTCATTTTAATTTCTTAATGGCTGCAATAAAGAAAGATAGAGGGAAATCCATCAGTCCAAACCGTTTGGTTCTCACATGCAAATCCAAGTGGCTTACATTATCAACTAAAATAGAGGATGGGTTTTATCTTTAGACACTCATATCATCCCTTGTCTGATATCATGGAGACCTGGAATAGGATGCATAATGGTGTGCTGATAATGGTTTCCTTTTGGTATTTTTGTCAGAATAATGATACACTGTCCCTCTTGAAAGTCCAATGCTCTGATGCTTCTCTTCTGGATACTTCTGTTCTTGGTTAAGTAATGATGATTACACATTAGGTAAAGCATTGAGGACAAAACAGATTTTGACTGCTTGTAGATCTAATTCCAAATCCTAGCTAGACTATATATTTTTTCCTTTTTTTAGAAGCCTTGGGACCATACCAGGCGGTGCTCAGGGCTTACTACTGGCTCTGTACTCAGGGATCACTCATGATGTGGCTCGATGGATCGATCATATGGAGTGCCAGGGATTGAACCTGGGTCAGCAAGTGCCCTACATACTTACTATACTACCCACTACAAGCCCCTTAGATAGACTATTTTGTGGCAATGTGGCTCGTAAAGTCACTGCATACTTCTCTAATCATCAGTTTCCTCATGACATAGAAGTTATGACATAGAAGTTTAAAGTTCTTTAAAAACTAAAGAGATATGGGGCCATAGGGCTAGTTCAGTGAGTAGGGTGTTTGACTTGCATGTGAGTTACCCAGGTGCGATCTTAGTCACCCCTTAGGGGTCTCCAAAGCATGACCAGAAGTTATTCCTGAGTTAGGAACCGGGAGTAACCTATGGGCATTAGTGGTGTGACCATCACTTCCCCAAAATAAACTTTAAGAGATATTTCAGGGAGTGGAGACATAGTACAGAGGGTAAAGTGCTTAGCTCAGTGTCCCACCCTGGTTTTTATCCTTGGCACCATATAAGATCCTCCAAGTGCTGCCAGGAGGACCAATGAGTTAGGTGGTGGAAGAAATACCACCACCATCACCACTTTGACACCAACCAAAAGAGATAGATATATCAGAAAAGAAAGGCAGTATAAGTAATTGGTTAAAAATCAGATAGCCTAATCAAATACCTGCTCTGCTATTACTACCTGTGATCTAGAGCAAATTACTTTGTATTTGCTCCTGGTTATAGTCTCCAGAGAGTAGACTGAACCAAAGATTAGCTTAGAGGATACAGACTAAGGAGACACCTCTATATAAACAGCTGTGGAAAGAAGGAGAAAGAAGAAGGATGCAGATGGAAATTTTGTACTTCAACTCACTCCACAGGGATCGACAGAACTAGGATAGCCCTTAAAAACTGTCCTAATAGAGAAGGCACCATTATGACAAAGATAGTTGGAAATGATCATTCTGGGTAGGAACATCACACTAAAAGTAGGTAAAGGAATAAATATGATAACCTCTCAGTATCTGTGTTGCAGACCATAGTGCCCAGAAGGAGACAGGGGAGAGAGAAAAGGAGATAAGGAAATTGCCTGCCATAGGGCCAGAGAGGCAGGCTTGGGGAGAGGGGCAGTGGTGGGAAAGAAACAGATCATTGGTGATAGGAAATGTACACTGGTGGAGGGATGGGTGTTGGATCATTATGTGACTGAAACCCAATCATGAACAGCCTTTGTAACTGTATTTCACAGTGACTCAATTAAATAAATAAATAACTTTTCTTTAAAAATCTAAATTAGAAAAAAAGCAAAAATAAAATCTTCCCTAAAGTGGGGTGAAAAGATCCGTTTTTCTACCCTTCTGAAGGCAATTGCTTCTGAAAGGAGGCATATCTTGGGCAAGGCAATTTTCTAAAGTAAAAATAACCTCCAAAGAAGGTTGTCACAAGAAAGGTCATTTTCTTGCAGCACTCTCAGAAACTGTGGAGTTTTTAGTTGTTGAAGAGAGCTTTTGGAAGTCTCCACAGTCTCCAGCACACTCTCTGTACCTCCACATCCTCATTTGCAAATAGGACTAATAATACTAACATCATAGAGTTGTGGTTAGAATTAAAGCACATGGAAGTATGCTTGGTACCCAACAAATGTTATCTGTTATGATTTAACTCATTAGAGTTCTTAACACTGGTAGAGATAGATACTCAATAATTTGGAGCATTAGTCAGAGCACAGATTTGTTACAAGCTACTACGGAAAGAGCATTAGAAGTCACTGGTCATTTGGGAGAAGAGGAAAGAAGAGCTTAACAAGAAGTAATTTGGGAGGGGGAGGAGGTTCACACCTTGCAGTGTTTGTTCCTGGATCTGCTCTCAGGGGTCACTTATGATAGTGCTCGGGGGAACATGATGGAACCGGCATTGATTTTATGAAAGGGAAGAGCATTAGCCCTGTACTATCTCTGAAGCCCAAGAGGAAGTAACTTAAAATTTGTAGGTATAATTGCCAAGTGGGGAGCTGGGGGCATGTGTCAACTTGCTTGAGCTAATGAGCCTAAGAGGAGCTGTAGGCTCCTATGATCACTCACTTCACATAGATCTTTTATTTATATTGATATTAGTCCTCTTATCTGTAATATCTTGATACAAAAGTAAACTTTGACTTTTATTTCATTTTGCTTATGACAAACAGAATGCAAGAACTCAAGAAACCTATAGCCATTATTCCAAAATTGTTGAAATACAGTACCTGGAGTTTAGAATCTGTGGAAATGATCAGCTTTGGTTTTTGTGGGAAGGCTCATTTCTCACTTTCTGTGACTGATCGATTTATTCTTTGCTTTTGTTTCAAGAGTCCTGCGCCAGCCAGTGGGAAGGATTTATTTTGCAGGCACCGAGACTGCCACACAGTGGAGTGGATACATGGAGGGAGCCGTGCAGGCCGGGGAGAGAGCAGCCCGAGAGGTAGGACCTGAGATTATGGACAGTTACAAAAGAAACAAATCATAAGCCTGAAAAAACAGGTAAAAATGCCTAGAGTCCTTGATATTTGGCTACACGAAGTGGAGCAAAGAAAGTCTCTTCAATAAATGGTGTTAGAAAAACTGAAGAGCCACCTGAAAAAAATACAAAATGAAATCAAACTAATATCTCACATTGTACATAAAAGTTAATTCAAAATGGATTCAGACATCAATATTAGACTACATAAAATAAACTGAAGACAATGTATGCATAACTTTCCAGGCTATGGACCTCAGAGGTGTTTTCAATTATTTGATTCCATTAGCAAAGATACCAAAAAAAATAAGCAAATGAAGCTACATCTAATTGGAAAGCTTTTATACAGCCATAGAAACTCAGGCTAAAATAAAAAGATGCCGTAGTGGATAGGAGAAAATATTTGCACTTGGCACATCAAATAAAGAGCTCACTTCGAAAATGCACAAAGCAATCAGAAATCTCAGCAACAACATTTCTATCTCCATCAGAAAATGAGACAAGGAGTTGGACAGACAATTCCATAAACAGGACATAAAGAAGGCCAATAAGAATATGCAAAGGTGTTCAATGTCACTTATTATTAGGGAAATGAAAAATCAAAATGTAATGAAATAATTTCATTCCAGTGATATTTGCATATATCAATAAGACTGGAAACAATGGTGGGGATATGGTGAAAAAATGTTGTCTGTTCATTGTCCTTGAAGATTTCTCAAAAAGCAAGAATAGCGTTTCTATACAACCTAGCAATTCCACTTCTTGCCAGCTACCCAAAGAATACAAAATTAATTCAAAAACTAGGAATATAAAGTAACAGAATAGGAGACTAACATCCAAGAACAGTAGAAATAAGTACCAGGAGGATTACTCCACAGCTTAAAAGCCAGCCTTGCATGCTGGGGGAAAAGGCAGCTCAGATAGAGAAGGGACCAACAAGTAAAGGGTGGTAGGAGGGTTCACTCGGTATGGGAGATGCAAACTGAAAGTAGAATATAGACCGAACATGATGATCACTTAATACCTCTACTGCAGACCACAACACCCAAAAGGAGAGAGAGAACAAAAGGGAATTCCCTACCACAGAGGCGGGGTGGTGTGGAGGGGATGGGGCGGGGGTGGTGGGAGGGATGCTGGGATCATTGGTGGTGGAGAATGGGCACTGGTGGAGGGATGGGTACTTGACCATTGTATGACTGAAATGCAAGCACAGAAGTTTGTAAGTCTGTAATTGTACCCCACGGTGATTCACTAATAAAATTTTTTTAAAACTAGGCATACCAATCCAATATTCATTGCAGAGCTTGGTATAATAGTCAGCATATAGAAACAACAAAAATACAAATTTACAATAGCAGTGAACGAATAATGACCTTATATTGCAGCCAATCCGCCTCTTTGTTCCCTGCCACCCACACTTCCTGCCTTGACATTCTCAGTTATATTTTTGTGAGGATGGTATTAGTGCCACACCCAGCAGTGCTGAGGGAATATTCTCGTGTACATATACATACCACTACTTCTTATTCATACATACAATGTAATACTATGCAGTCAAGTAACAAGAAGAAACAAAATCATGCATCTTTGGATGGATAGGACTGATGGGTAGCATGTTAAAAAAAGTAAATCAAAGAAAAACAAATACTGCATTATATTACTTATCTTTGGTATTTAAAGAAACTAAACAAGGGAGTGCAGGCTGGAGTGATAGCACAGCGGTAGGGCGTTCGCCTTACAAGCAGCCAACATGGCCGACCCGAGTTCGATTCCTCCGCCCCTCTCGGAGAGCCCGGCAAGCTACCGAGAGTATTCGATATGCCAGACACAGTAACAACAAAGTCTCCAATGGAGACGTTACTGGGCCCGCTCGAGCAAATAAGGGAGTGGAAGGTTTCAAACAATGGCAAACTCTTGATACTGAATTACAACTGAGAATATCTAGGCTAGAGAGAGTACAGCAGGTAGGGCTCTTGCCTCATACTTGACCAACTCAAATTTAATTTCCAGTACCTCATGGGGTCCCTGAACACCGCCAAGAGTAAAAACTGAGTACCACCAATTGTGGCCCCCAATCCCACTGCCTCCAAAGTACAGCTGAGAATGTCAAGTAAGGCAGGGAATGGGTGGCAGCTAACAATGAGATAGATTGGCTATAAAATAACGTCATTGGGGTGGATCTAGGGCACTTCTCTGGGGATAGGGAAGGTAATTTTGCACATCAAATGCATTTAACACTACTGTAATCATGATATCAATACTATAGTAAGTATATCTTTCAAAATTTACCAAGGAGTTGAGGGAGTATTAGAGGGCCTTGAAATGTTGACGAATGCTGATATGATGGTAGGTATGGAATTGGAACACTGTTTGACTAAAATTCTATTATTAGTAATATTGCAAATCACTGTGTCAAAAAAAATTTTTACGTTAACCCTTTCAGCAACCCACCCCTCCAAATTACTGTGAAGAGGAATGATACATTTTTATAGGTTATATTTTAATTAAATTGTCAAAAGCAAGAGATAGTAGGAAATAGGTGGGGGTATGTCGATCTTGGTGAATCATTGTTTTCTCCAAAAATAAATACATTATATGAGAAAAATACATATATATTCTGTTTACTTAGAGTTTAAAACCCCAGTCATTTATATCTGAAGACTTCTGGAACACCATTTAAAAAATAGTCTCAGATGGGGCCAGAGAGAAAATACAGAGGATAAGGCTCTTGCCATGCACAGGACTGACCAAAGTTCGATCCTTGGCACCCTGTATGGTTCTCCATCCTTCTAGGAGTGATCTCTGAGCACAGAGTCAGGAATATTTATTGAACACATTTAGATGTGACCCGAAAACAACATAAATAACGAATAATGAATTAAATAATCTTGAATAAAGTGAATATCTACACCTAAACTATGAATAAAGATATCTAGCATGCCATTCAAGACAGAAAGAAACCAGAGAGCCAAAGATTACCGTGGCTATGCTTGAGAGATCACTTGACATCCCGTTACTCATCGATTTGCTCCAGCAGGTGCCAGTAACATCTCCATTCGTCCCTATCATGTGCTAGTGTAGCCCAATGGCATCTCCTCATTCTAGGAACATGAAGAGCCTCAAACCGATCGTTCAGGGTCTTGACGAAAAAGTCTGACCATCTCATAAGTGGGTGGCCATGAGATCTTTTGATGTCCTGTGGAATCCAGTTGTTAATGGCTCTAGTCCAGTGGTCATCTCCAAATCTCATTACATGTCCAGCCCATCTGATTTTCGATGCCTTGGCAAACAAGACAGTGACCCTGATTCTTGATCATCGATGGAGGTCAGAACTCCAGATTCTTTCTCTCATTTAAGTGAAGCATGATACTCCAAGCATAACTTTTTCGATTCCTCTTTGGGATACCTGAATAGCCTTCTCATCCTGTTTTCGTAGGGCCCAGGTCTCTGAGGCTTATGTTAATGCAGGAAGAACAGTGGAATAGAAGAGATGTGCTCGGAGCTGGAGGTTCCTCATCATCATAGCTATTTCTTCAATGCTCTTGAAGGCGTTCCAAGCCGCTTTCTTCCTCCTGCTCAACTCAGGTGCCAGGTCATTCGTCATGTTGACTTCTCAACCTAGGTACACATAACTGTTGCACTCGAAGATGTTTGTCCCATTGAGAGTGAATGGAACGTCAGAAATGAGACCATTTCTCATAAACATAGTCTTTGTGAGATTCAGCTGTAGTCCAACCTTTCCACACTCACAGTCAAAGTCAGCCAGCATTTGTGCCGCTTAGCTGATGTTTTGTGTTAGTAGAATGATGTCATAAGTGAAACGAAGGTGGTGTAGTTGCCAACTGTCTATCTTCACTCCCATTCCTTCACATTCCAGTAGTCGCATGACGTTCTCGAGGGTGGCACTGAAGAGTTTGATGAAATGGTATCACCCTGCCCAACCCCTCTCTTGACGTCAATGATCACCTCCCTGTAGAATGGTGAGATCCTGGTAGCTAATCTGTAATACAGCTCACAGAGGATCCTGATGTACTGAGTTCGAATGCCCTGTTTGGCTAGGGCTTCAATGACTGCTTCAGTTTCAACAGAATCAAAAGCCTTCTTTAAATCAATGAACGTTAGACAGAGCGGCATCTTGATCTCCCGCAAAACCTCAATGAGCTTGGTTATTGTGTGGGTATGGTCGATCATGCTGAATCCTTTTCAGAAACCGGCTTGCACGCATGGTCGTCCTTCATCTAGTGTTCCGCCAATCCTATTAAGGATGACTTGAGTGAACAGCTTTTAGATGACAGACAACAGGCAGATCGGGCAATAGTTGCCAATATTGTGGATGTCTCCCTTCTTGTACAGTAGTACAGTCCTGCTGGTTTTCCATTGGGATGGAACCTTGCATTCAGACAGGTAGCATGTGAAGAGCCGAGCCAGTGTATTGATGAGTACTGACGGCAGGTTCTTCAGATGTTCGGTTCTGACCTTGTCTGGGCCAGGTGCTTTTCATTTCTTTTTTAAAATTTTTATTTTATTTTATTTTATTTTATTTTTATTAGTGAGACATCATGAGGTACAGTTGCAGACTTACAAAATTTTGTGCTTGGGTCTCAACCATACAATGATCAAATACCCATCCCTCCACCAGTGCCCATTTCCAGAAACTTTGGTACATTTACACAATGGAGTACTCTGTAGCTGTTAGAAAAGACAAAGTCATGAAATTTACATACAAGTGGTACTACATGGAAAGTATCATGTTAAGTGAAATGACTCAGAAAGAAAGGGATAGACATAGAAAGATTGCATTCATCTGGGGAACATAAAGTAACAAAATAGGAGACTAACACCCAAGAATGGCCGAGAGTAGTGCCAGGAATTTTGCTGTTCGCTTTTTTACCAATGAAATCGCGTGTTGGATTTCAGAAGGGAGAACATTGGGAACAACATATCCATTCTGCAGAATTTGGTATGTGGACTGGTGAACATGATTTTCGAAGAGATCCAAGTAGAAGTCATGGATATTCTTCTCCATTTCCCTTCTGGAAGATGTGATAGATCCATCAGGATGTCGCAGGGCAGTCATCTTGGTCTTGTAGTTGGCGAAGTACAGGCAGGTGTTGTGAATGCTTTTCCCAGCTTCTGACGCATCTGCCAGCTCTGCTGCTTTTCTCTCTTTGAGGTCTTCCTTTATCACTTCTCTGCACTGCTTTGTGAGTTCGAACGTTCACTTGTGGTTGCCTGAGGCTTGCGCCAAGCCATGTTGGCGAATGAACTCTAGAGTTTTCAAAGACAGACGTCTTTTTGTGGCTATCTCTCTTGAGAGATATTCTAGGTTTAATATTATAAAACTAAGCCTGTGTCTATTATTAGTCAGAGTTTATTTATGTATTTGTCAAAAATTCCTCTGATTTCACCTCTTCTAATGCATGTTCCACCACTATTAATATTTATGAGCCTAATGGTTAGAACTTCTTTATGGTATAGGAGCGATAGCACAGCAGTAGGGCGTTTGCCTTGCATGCAGCCAACATGGCCGACCCGAGTTTGATTCCTCTGCCCCTCTCGGAGAGCCCGGCAAGCTACCGAGAGTATCTCGCCCGCACAGCAGAGCCTGGCAAGCTCCCCGTGACGTATTCAATATGCCAAACACAGTAACAACAAAGTCTCCAATGGAGACGTTACTGGGGCCGCTCGAGCAAATCGATGATCAATGGGAGGGCCATGGTATAGAAAGAATGACCTTTGAAAGCCTTTAAAGGTTAAATGGACTGCACTGACTTTTACCCTGGTGTTTTCATAGATATCTCAAGTGACATTTAGTTTGCCCTTTATTTAAAGGGCAAATTAAGAGAATGACTGTAATTTTATTCACCAAGATGTTCTTTCTTTTAAGATTCTGCATGCCATTGGGAAGATCCCAGAAGATGAAATATGGCAGTCAGAACCAGAGTTTGTGGTAGGTGACATTTTATTTTGTGAATTTAAATCTCTCTAGAAATGTTTGTTTGCAATGTTCTTTATCTTCACATACCTTTCTCTAAGTGAGTCAACCCATGAATGTTTAAAGAGAAGGCTTGGAGTGGGGCAGAGGTGAACAATTTAGAAGAATTTTAATAAATTTGTACCTGCCATATCTACTTCAGGTTATTAGAGGAGTTGTGATTTTATTTTTGCTTGGTACACACATTTCACAAAGAGTTCTATACATGGCAAGATCTCATAGACACCAATTGCAAAAATACCAAATCTGATTATTTTCAATAGGGCATAGAAAATAAAACGAAGATATCTCAGCATTTCCTGTCCCAGGGCAAAGGAGTAGGATAATATAGAACAGATAAATTTTAAAAGTACGGGAATGAAAAGTGTCCCAAAACAATAGAAACTGAGAGCTGATCTTCAGTAGGAGGGAAGGGATGGGGGGTGGGGGGGCACACTGTAACAATGATGTAGGGAAGGGGACACTCTTGTCGGGGGGTGTGGTGCTGTATGTTTTATGCATGAAACCCTTACACTTAACAGTTTTGTAAACTACATAGTGCCTAAAATAAACTTTAAAGAAAAATGAACTTTCAATATACTTACCATTTTTATAATGGAACCCCAGGAAGTTTTCCCAACTCAAAGGAAAGACATATCCATGGCCAGGATAAACAGGGCTTAGGAGGCTGGTCAATGGCTGGAACTAACCATAAGTGTGTGTGTGGGGGGGTGGGGGGCTTAGGATAAGTAATATAGAGAAGAGACTGCTATGACAATAATAGCTGGGGAATATCACGCTGGACAAGATCTGACCGTTAAAAGTAGGTAAGGGATATTCTTGATAACATTGCAAACCACAATTCCAAAAAGGAGAGAAAGAGAGAGAGATAGAGACAAAGAGAGGAAAAGTTCCTGCCAAAGAGGCAAGCAAGGGTGAGCACTGGGATGGTGTGTGTGTGGAGGGGGTGAATACTGGGGACATTGGTGGTGGAAAATGTTCACTGATGGAGGATGGGTGCTTGATCATATTATGGCTGAATCTCAAACGTGAAAGCTTTGTAACTGTATCTCATGGTGATTCAATAAAAAAGAGGCAGGCAAAGGGTGGGGGTGGGAGGTGATGGGAGGGAACCTTGGGACACTGAGGCTGGGAAATGTACACTGGTGGAGGGATGGGTGTTGGAATACTGCAGGACTGAAATTCAATCATGAACAGATTTGTAATGCTCTAAAAATTAAGAAATAAAAGGAAAGACATTCAGAGGATAGGGTGAAACTTATAGAAGTCTTATAGAAGTAGTCCAGAAGACTACTTGAGCCAGGAATGTAGCTCAGTGGTGAAGAAGATGCTTTCCATGAATAAGAAACCAGGTTCCATAATCCAAAGAAAAAAAGAAATAAAAATCAATCATTCTGGGGTCGGGGCAGAAAAAAATCAATCATTCCTCTATAAATATTAAAAAACAGGTATCTGCTACTTTGAAGTCATTTTCTTAGCGCTCCTCTTTAAGATGACATTGAGAGAGCTAAGTGAACCATAGATACAGTCACACTCAATAAATAGGCATTGTGTACACATTCTGCATCAGACAATAGAATTAGGGTGCAGCAGTGCTTTCATGGAGCTCAATGTGTGGTGCGAAATACAATTACCAGGTAATTGAATAGTACAAGTATAATGAATAGGACTTTCTAGGAATGTAATAAGAAGGGTTAATGTTATTTGGGGGATGCAAGAATATCTCTTTTAAAAAGTGAGGTATATCTTGAGACTTGAGGGGTTGGAGTGAGCAGAGGGACCATGTTGTGAGCGGAGGGACTATGAAGATGGGCCAGAGACTGGCAAGGGGGATCATGATGTTCAGGAAATAGCAGACTTTCTGGGGTGAAGTGAACAAGCCCTGTACTGATCCTAACTGTTATCTGAATCTAGGATGTTCCTGCGAGACCAATTACCATGACCTTCCTGGAGAGACATTTGCCCTCTGTGCCAGGCCTGCTGAGGCTGATTGGATTCACCACCGTCATTTCAGCAACTGCTCTGGGATACCTGGCCCACAAAAGGGGGCTATTTGTGAGGGTCTAAAGAAAGAACATCTGTAAAATTCTATGAAAAGATAAAGAACATAGAGTGATGTTGGGGTACTAAGATAAGTCAGACAATGATAACAAAAAAAATCTTTATTTCGACCCCTGTTTGTAGTTCCTTACTGGGCTTAGTGCAGTTTCCCCCACTTGCAAATTTACTATCCCCAAAATCTTTAAAGTAGTTAAATAAGCTTATTAAAGATCCTTGCTGTCCCACAATTTGCCCACGCACAACAAACTTCTTCCCGTCTCTATGACTTTGTGTCCTGCTTCTTACCTGAAATATCCTTATCTTCCAAGTTCTCCGAATTTCGATTTAGAGTTCAATATTGTAATTGATTGGATACTTAGCAGACTTTCTTTGTCCCATACTTTCTATTTTAGGGTTGAACATACTGCAGCTGAGAAACAGATCTAAATTCTCAATATCTACAATAAGCCACTGAAAGCTAGGAGAGCAGAACACAGACCCATTGACTTTTTCCCCAACACCCAGAAAGTCTATGTTCCAATCGCCCTCCTTCACATCCTTCTATGGTCACTGTTGGTGTTCCTTTATATGACTTCGCTCTGAACTAACTTGCTATGTATTACTCTGATGTTATCCAATGAGTATTCTTAAGGCTTGCTCAGTATGTTTCCTTAAGTCTTTGTATCTTTAAGACACTAAATATTTGGGGAGGGGTAGTTATATTTTTTCCCTTTTGTATCCTACAATATGCCTAAATTTAAAAGTTAGTATGCATTTTAGAACATTTAAATAAAGTTGATTGGGCTGATGTCTGTTGTCTTTTCTTTGGAGATAATGAATTTCCAGATTTTAGCAGATCAAGTCAAAATTTAACATGAGGCATAAATCGTGACTTTAAAAAATTTAGGGGGCTGGAGCAATAGCACAGCAAGTGGGATATTTGCCTTGCATACAGGGGACCCGGGTTCGATTCCCAGCATCCCATATGGTACCCCGAGCACCGCCAGGAGTAATTTCTGAGTGCATAAGCTGCGAGTAACCCTGTGTATCGCCGGGTGTGACACAAAAAGCAAAAAAAATCAGTTAAAATTTCTATAAATCCCAGATGATATGATACATGTATTCATATGTGAGCCTTAATAACTGATTTATAATTATGTGATAATGATGCTAAAAGAATGTTCCTTGCTTTTATCTCTCTCAAATATGTCAAAATAATTGGCATATTTAAAAAGATGTTTAAACTATTAAGACCATCACAATATTTCAGCTAACCTTTCATACCTATCAGTACAAAGCATTTTATTATATAAACTCATTTAGTTAAAACTACTTTTTTTCACAGTTCATTGAATCTTTTCTGAAGTAATTTTTAAATGAAATAATATTTTCAGAGTACTAATACCCCTGATCTTCCAAAGTCAGTTTTTATTAAGATATATTTCAAATCCATACATGACAATTTTCATACTGTCCTTTGTAAAATGAAATTTATTACTGGCACAAATGAAATATAAGGAATCTACCAGAATTAATCAATATTATATGATTCTGATTTTACAGTGATATTTGCATGTGTAAGTTAACTGGAACATGAGAAATGGAAATTAATTACTAAAGATTTCTTTGTAGGCATTGTTTTTGAATGTGTCTAAAACGTAATATATTTGGCATGGTGATGTCTTTTTGAACACGCTGTCCTTCCAAAACATCCCTCTACCACAAAATCATCATATTACTTACTTCAACATGTTCATTCAGAAAAAGTCAAATTCTTGGTGAAAACTATGGAGGCTATCAGAGGGAAAGAGAATGGGGTAGAAGGAATAAGCAGAGGGGTCTTTTTAATGGAGGCATGGCACTACAATTTGTGTAGAGAGGTTTACTATTGCACACAGAAAAAGATAAGCAGATAAACCCCTGAAGATCTATAACATTGTCAACCAATGATAAGTCAAATTTTAAGTGTGGAAGTCGAAAAGGAATGGTCTCATCTGGGAATGTCCTGAACCACTCATTTTCCAGCTGGATAAGGTAGTTCCTTTCTTTGTTTTCCCGATGCTACATGTATAGATATCTTGTCCTTCATTTACATATACTGCCATTGTGCCATCTTATTAAATTGCGTTAGTTGACAGATATACCAAGTTTATTATATATCAGTTACAAAGTTAAATCCTGAAATAGGCAAATTTGGGGGAAAATTCAAAAGAAGTTCCTAAAAATCAGTTTCTTCTCTCTTGAAATTTCTTAAAGGTTTTGGGGGTGCGATGATGATTTTTTAAAGGTCAGATTTATGAGATCTCTTGAGAGAGAGAGAACTGCCATGATTTGAATCCAGTCTACACCACAAAGGAGGGTTAGGAGGCTACTTTATCACCCCAAATCTAGTGAGAAGGGCTTCAAGGAGACCCCCCTCCCCGTGAGCCTATTATATCCCTTGTAAATCTAAAATCCTGGATCCTGCTCAAGATGCTTTTGTTCAGAAGGGGAGAGAATGCCACAGAAAGCAGGAGCTGAGTCCAGACCAAAAGTGATGACTAAGCAAAGGAGAAATACTGCCTATACCAGGGTAATCAAAGCCAGAGGACTGAGACAAGTCCTCTGGGGGGGGGGGGAACTAAAAGTGTCTCCATAACAGTTTATTTACTACTTATGAGTGAGATCATGTGGCATTTGTATTTCTGATACTGACTTATTTCACTTAATGTGGCACTATACAGAAACAAGCAAGGGAAGGATGTACAATGAAAAAGAAAAACATAGACAGTGGTAACAGAATTAAGGCTACCTTAAAATATGTATGTGGAGGAAGTAGAAAGAAAAGATTGTATCAATAGTGGTGGGAGAGGGGCCAAATTGATAGTACAGTGGGTATGGCATTTCCTTGTACACTGCCAATTCAGGTTCAATCTTTGGCATCCCATATCCTCCTGAAGACTGCCAGGAGTAATTCATGAGTGCAGAGCCAAGAGTAATCCTTGAGCATCACTGAGTGTGGTTCCCAAACAAAAACAAACAAAAATAGTGGTGGGAGAATATTGGCACATTGATGGTGGGTGTGGAGCGGTAGTATTGTACACCCAAAACATAAACATTTATATTCTCGTAAACTAATGTCTCCTCAAAATTAGCAAAGAAAAAAGTTCAGTTATCATAACATCTTTTAACCAGAAACATTAAACAGTATTACAAGAGGACTCTCGAGTAGAAGTGTTTAGTAACATACTTTCTTTTGTCAAAGTGATCAAGGAGTAGAAAGGAGGCAAAAGTTAACCTAACCTAGATTCCTTTAAGATGTAACTAGAGCACCTGGAGCTGGTCCTAACTAAAATAAGGGAGAAAAACAAACTCTTAATCATATTTAGAGGTTCTATTGTTTCATAGTATTGGACATTCAAATTATTGGGTTGAAAATGTGATTTGTGACTCAAAGAAACTATAGCCACTTTAAAAAATAATAAATAATTTTTATTTAACTAAAGAACTGTGATTTACAAAGTTACTGACAATTGAGATTTAGGCATATAATATTTCAATACAAAACCAACCATCAGTATCAGCTTCCCTCCTCCAGTGTTCCTGTACTCCATCTCTTCCCCTATCCCATCCCCCTCCTGCCACCTTGACAGGAACATTGCAAAGTTTAAACAATAGTCACTCTTAAGAGTGTTTGATGGGCGCCTTATCACCAATTAGAAATTGAGCTCCCATTTGACCCAGCAATACCACTCCTGGGAATATATCCCAGAGAGGCAAAAAAGTATAGTCGAAATGACATCTGCACTTGTTTGTTCATTGCAGCACTCTTTACAATAGCCAGAATCTGGAAAAAATCTGAGTGCCCGAGAACAGATGACTGGTTAAAGAAACTTTGGTACATTTACACAATGGAGTACTATGCAGCTGTTAGAAAAGATAAAGTCATGAAATTGACATACAAGTGGTACTACATGAAAAGTATCATGCTAAGCGAAATGACTCAGAAAGAGAGGGAGAGACATAGAAAGATTGCATTCATCTGGGGAACATAAAGTAACAAAATAGGAGACTAACACCCAAGAATGGCCAAGATTATTACCAGGAATTTTGCTCCATGGTTTAGAGGCCAGCCACACATGCTAGGGGAAAAGGGAGCTCAGATAGAGAAGGGAACACCAAAGGGTGTTGGGAGGATACTCCCAGGATGGGAGAAGAATGCTGAAACTATAGATCAAACATGATTGCCACTCAATGCCTCTTTTGCAAATCACAACACCCAAAAGGAGAGAGAGAACAAAAGGGAATGCCCTGCCACAGAGGCAGTGTGGGATGGGGGGATGGGGGGTGGGAGGGATACTGAGATCCGTGGTGGTGGGAAATGGGCACTGGTGGAGGGATGGATATAATGGTATAATTGGAGGGATCATTGTATAATTGAAACCCAAGCACAAAAATTGTAAGTCTACAACTGTACCTCATGGTGTCTCACTAATAAAAATTAAAAAATAAAAAAAAATTTTAAAAAGAGTGTTTGATGGGGTCTGCTCTTCAAGCCCTTGTTTTCCCTTGAACACATACCATGCTACTTTATCTCTATGTATCATTGCAGAATACTAGATGAAGGACAACCATGCGAGCAAGCCGGGTTCTGAAAAGGATTCAGCACCATCGACCATACCCACACGATAACCAATCTCATTGAGGTTTCTAAGGAGTTCAAGATGCCGCTCTGTCTAACGTTCATTGATTTAAAGACGGCCTTTGACTCTGTTGAGATGGAAGCGGTCATCGAAGCCCTAGCCAATCAGGGAGTTGCAAACTCAATACATCAGGATCCTCTGTGAGCTGTATTACGGATTCACTACCAGGATCTCACCATTCTACAAAGAAGTGATCATCCATGTCAAGAGAGGGATTCAGCAGCGTGATACCATTTCACCGAAACTCTTCAGTGCCACCCTCAAGAACATCATGCGACAACTGGAATGGGAAGGAATGGGAGTGAAGATAGATGGTCGGCAACTACACCACCTCTGCTTTGCTGATGACATTGTTCTAATAACACCAAGCGTCAGCCAAGTGGCACAAATGCTGACCAACTTCGACCGTGAATGTGGAAAGGTCGGATTATAGCTGAATCTCACAAAGACAATGTTCATGAGAAACAGTCTTGTTCCTGATGTTACATTCACTCTCAATGGAATGAACATCTCCGAATGCAACAGTTATGTGTACCTACGTCGAGAAGTCAACATGACGAATGGCCTGGCACCTGAGTTGCACAGGAGGAAGAAAGCGGCTTGGAACGCCTTCAAGAGCATTGAAGAAATAGCTAAGAGGATGAAGAAACTCCAGCTCCGAGCACATCTCTTTGATTCCACTGTTCTTCCTGCATTAACATACGCCTCAAAGACTTGGGCCCTACGAAAACAGGATGAGAACGCTATTCGGGTCTCTCAAAGAGGAATTGAAAGAGCTATGCTTGGAGTATCATGCTTCATTCAAATGAGAGAAAGGATCCGGAGTTCTGACCTCTGTCAACACTCAAGAACCAGGGACACTCTCTTGTTTGCCAAGGCATCGAAAATCAGATGGGCTGAACACATAATGAGATTTAGAGACAACAGCTGGACTAGCGCCATTACCGACTGTATTCCACAGGACGTCAAAAGATCGCGTGAACGCCCACCTACAAGATGGTCAGACTTCTTCGTCAAGACTATGAATGATAGGTTTGAGGCTCTTCATGTTCCTAGAACGAGCAGATGCCATTGGGCTACGCTAGCACGCAACCAGGGATGAATGGAGACATCACTGGCGCTCGCT